GGACAATGAATAAACTGTGTTGATTTATCAAATCAGTCAAATATAACACACTTACTAGCTCTGGCATAATGATTTTAAAGAGGTGCTTGGCATTATGAAACTGCGGATTCAGTTTGTCCATAGTGGGCTGTCAAAGAAAAGAAACTACAAATCAAAATTTGAATTTTAGATTCGATTTAAATGATGTGCATTGTTTGATATATCATACCATTTTATTTGAAAATATTGATCCAACGTAAGAGAGGATGTGCAGAAGTGGGGGAAGTCCTAAAATAACTTGAATGAAGAAATTGTAATCGCAACTTAACCTCCTACGCAACCGTTTTCACCTCGTCTTCAAATTTCCTGTTTATAGCAGAAAATTCGAGCCCTGTAATGCGTAAGGGAAAGATTTTACGACAGTTTAAAAATTTCGACATTTACAGGCATCTGAATGGAAAACTACTCAACCGTGACTGGGTGGCAAGAGCTGCTTTTCCCATGCAAATCCTTATAACTTTCGGCGTCCGTTGCAATCGCTACTTTTGAGATATACGCTTGAAAATTGACAAGTTACCTAATTTTTATATGCTCTTTCAGCTGTTGCTGAAATCAATTTTTCCAAAAAGAATTGTTTCCGTGCTTACAGAAAGTTGATCACGTGACCTGACATTTTGTAAGTTAGAAAAGGCCCTTTTGTCATACATCACCATACGCAATACCAAAGAAAAATAACATTTAAATTGAGGAAAAAGCTTACAGTCAAACCAGGTCAAGCGTTCCCGTCGCCAACGAACTAATGAATTCATTAACGGAAAAATGCTTTCGTTCGTTGATTCAATAATCCATTCATAAAATGAACAATCCAATAATCATATTTAGCCTCGATTCCATAATCGAATGTTGATTCGATTACTGTTTTTTGAAAAACTAGTTGACCTCAGAAATTTTGTTTTTTCCTCTTTTTTTTCTGAGAGTCGAGTGCTGGCGAGTTCTGAAGTTCAAACCCAAACAAACTGTTACATGTACGCCTGTTTGCTGCCAGTAATCAGTGCAACAGACCTAGGCCTGACCTCTTAGAAAACACGACGGTCAAACTGAGGTCAGTGTATGTGCGGTGATTGGTGGATTTCGATCCTCGGCCTTTGTCAGTTTCTTTGCGTTTGCGGTCTGTCTATTCTAGCTGTTATTTTGATTAAAGGCAATGAAAAACGCAATCGTAAACGGCAGGAAAAAGGAAGCAAATACGATTGAACACAACACACAAGAATAAAGAACAGGTAGATTTTATTCATAAACCAAATCAACATTTGATTATTGAATCGAGGTACAATTTGACTGTTGGATTATTCATTTTATGAATGGATTATTGAATCAACAAACGAAATCATTTTACCATTAATGAATGCATTAGTTTGTTAGCGACGGGAACGCTTGACCTGGTTTGACTGTAACTGCAGCATATAACTATAACATCTGGATGGTGAAGTGTCAAACTTTCCACAGAAAACTTACAGCCTGTCTTGCCGTTATGTTTGTTTCAGCGAGGTCAACCCAAGAGAGAATAATGGAACAAATGGGGAAACGCCCAGTCTAGCCCTTTGGATATGTGAATGTCACCAAAGTTATTTTTAGACCAATTAAACGCTTGAAGTTAATTGGAAGTTGGTTTTCGGAGAGGTCCGCAAACTCTTATTCTGTGTTGTCAAGGAAGAATAATAGGAAATTATGCTCTCTTGGAGTGTCGCCATTACAATATTCTGCACTGTTTGCTTTGAGGTAGCCGATTAAAATGTGCTGACGTTCCAGAAATTAGACTTCAGTTAAATTAAAACCTCTAATAATAACTTAAAGTGAAATTCACATATCCCGGTCAACGCCATAAGATTTCCTTTCTGATCCATTATTCTCAGTTGGTTAACCTTAACAGAAAGTTGTCTAACCTCGGTGCTTAGTATACCACAGTCTTCTGGGACACCAACTGTCTCCACATCAACACGTATTGGAAGCTGGGAATCTTCGTCGCCATGTAAATACTGTCCCGACAAGACCTGACATTAAAGCGCGCAATTAACCCAGTTAAACACAACTACATAGTAAAGTAAGTTGTTTAAAATATGGAAAACTTCAGTTGAAAAAAGCGCTAACAAGGATCTTATCGTTTCTACCGACTACTTGACTACCATTCTCCGTCTTATTTACAGACTGGGGAGTTTACCTCTATTGTGAAGTAACATGACTTTCCACCTTTCGGACTTTCCTTAATCATTGGGTAATAATTAGACTTGTCTGTCAAGAAATGCAATAATAACAAAAGATCAGGACAGGATGCCATGCAAAAGAAGAGAATTAAGTACAAGCATTGCCAATGCGCGTAGACTGAGCTTAGTAAATTTAACACTCTTATGTGGGAAGGGATCTAAATTGAACAAGAGTTAACCGTTATTTCATATCCGCGCGGTTGGGGACCTGGAAACTTGAGAATAGCCCACTTTCGATATATTAAAATTCTAACATGACTCTGACACTTTACGGAGAAAATTGCAAATTTTTTACGACTCCATTGTCTCGCAATTCCCAGGAGTGACTTGAGCACAAAGAAAACCAAATCAAATGTAGAAAAATGACCAGAAAGCCTCAGAGTCATCTTAGAATTTTAATATATCGAACATGGGCTATTGTATAAGCAATGCACAAGTTATTGCTCTTGGCGACTTCACTTCCTGTTGCTTTTGCCTAACTTACCCCTGTTTCTCAAAGAATCCGGCTTTAAAATGTAACCACATCCACCGTTCTTCCTAAACGTTCCTTGATTGAGATGCACGCCATAGTCTGGCACAAAGAAGAAAAAAAAGGAATTGATCCAATGGAAGAAACCGGTTAGGCCACTCGTTCTGTACCAGCCTCTGTTTCGTTTAAGTGGCTAGGTCGGTCACGTAAAATAAAGTTATAACTAGCGTCAGGATCACACTCTTCAAATCGTTAGAGTAGGGCATTTAGAGTATGTGAAGAAAAAGATGGCGAGATGTCTTGTTCACGTTTCCTTACACGAACCCGTCTCAACTGCAATACATTTACACAAACGCTTATGAATGGAAAGCTACGTTTGATTTAATAGAAGAAAAGGATGTCTTGCTCTTGGATTAATTTAAGAAAATTGTCCTCTTTTCTTCATTTTTCCCAAAAATTGGTCGGTCGAGCGATGGCAAACGAAGCATTTCATGAATAATTGTCACTTGAGAACCGCATCGGTGAAATATAAAATACCTGGCTTTTGAAAGTTGATGGCCACCATCTGAAGTCCGGCATTCCACATGACCTGCGGGTTATAGTTTGAGGAATCGACTCTTGATCCTTTCGGGTATGTTCTCACAATGTGCTTGTTAGCCAACGACAAAATATCTGTCGAGAAAAAGGAAAGCCGGCAGTAGTACATCCACTTAGTAGTTCTTGGTCTACCGTATTCCTGGTCGAATGTCGGTTTTTGAGGAGAGGGCAAAACCGGAGTACCGGAGAAAAATCCTCTCGGAGCAGCCTCGAACCCAGGCCTGTTCGCGCTATCCGAGTGGCCAGAGGAGGCTTGGAACCGAGCGCGAATTTTCCCGACAAGCCTGACAGGTGACGTCACATCCGAAATCGCCGAGGACGACTGGGAACGAGGCTGCTCTCGGAGCAAAGGAGAGAATCAACAACGAACTCAACAGTGTTCGCCCACAAAGAAAGCGCATGCGCAACATTGAGAGTAATATAATGGAAATCTTCCGTTTCATGGGTTGAACCTTGCGTTTATGTTACGTTGAGGTGGTTCATTTTCCAGTACATCCGATTAGTTTCTACCTTGTGATACTCAAATCCGCATGCGTATCTCACTGTGCTTGCGTTTCTGGTTTATGAAGTTGGGACACCCCCGTGCTGTACCCATATTCAGACAAAATGTTGTGCTCCTTCCCTTCCCGTGTCGATTTTTTTGCTTCTGACATGCCTACTCGAAAAAACCAACATTGACGGGGCAGAAAATACCGACCACTTCTGTCCCAACTAATGTGATAGTTAAGGTGGCCCGAACCGATTTATATGCTTGTTGGTTACGTTTTTGAATCCCGTTTTTCAGCAGGAACGATTTAACCATTTTTTATGATTTTTGGTATCCTTAATAAAGAATGATGGAACTTTAAGAAAATGCTTTGCATTTTCTTGTAGGTATAATTTTTTTGAGATATCGGCATATATTTCAATCCACATTTTTATAAAAAAAAAAAAAAAGGAACTTCGAAATCCAAAGACAGATTTTTCCCCAACTTCACTGCAGATAAGCTTCAGAACTCTACTTTTATACTTTTTACTTTTAACGGCAAATACACATTAACTTTGATAAATAGAAGCTCTTTAATCTCACCCCGCATTCGGCATGAAGTTGGTCTTCTTTAAACATAACCAACACGCATTCAAAAGACTTGGTAGCCAAAAATTTTCATTAAGTTTTTGCAGGAGGGAAAAATAACCTTCAAAAATTACTTTGCATCTCTCCATAGAGGTCACATTCTTATGCTCAAATGTCTGTTCTTATAAAGAAAAAATCTTATGTCAAAAAAGAAAACATCTTAAATAGCCTTGATAAAGTGCTGTATAAATTTACACTGTACCTCGAGGATGACCTGTGATGAAATCTTGCGCATAGCCGTCATTGAAAGAGTACATTTCACAGCAGTCACCTGAGATTTCATGCTTTTTGTAAGGCACTGCACGACAATATACAATTAGTTTGCCCATGGAATCTTCCAACGGGATCTACAAAAACACAGTCCAAATCACTAACGGCGATGTAATCATTACTATGTACAACACTTTAAGAAAGAGCTGTTTTGAATCGAAAGTCGAAAACAATTTCGTGATTTCGCAGAGCTATTTTCATTTGCTAAAAGTTTGGAGTAATTTTCCAAACTACGTCGCAGCTCGATTAAATTCGAATCAAAATCAAACAGAACTCCTCTTCGCTCTGTAATGAATATCATGAACTATTGCCACCCTCGAATAAACTTTACCACATGCATGAGGATAACAGCAGTGCAAGGTACTTACTATACTGTACTGATCTTCACTTGTTGAGCCCTGTTATGAATCGAACGTGAAACCAAAATAGGTACATAAGCGGCCTTGCATATAACAATAATAATAATAATAATAGTCGAAGTTGTTGAAGGAGCCATTTAATCGGACTACTGATGTGTTTTCTTACTTTTAAATGGAAAATATTCGTCATTAACACATTGTCAACGCTATTTAATTTTCCTCTTTTTTAGTGATGTTTTTAGTGATTATCTTAGTAAGAATGCAATTGACCTTGAAAACAGTTTCTTCTTTTTTTATTCGAAATGAATTGTTTTTATTGAAATGAAACATTCTTAATTTAAATAATTTTTGTTTAATGAAATGAATTTTTTTTTTCTAATCAAAACTAAGTGTTTTTTTTAACGAAAGGAATTGTAAATAGTGTTTTGACGAAATAGTTTTTTTTAAAGTGAATTAATTGTAAATAGGATTTTAATAGTATAATAATAATAACAACAACAATAACAACCACGACAACATTAAGCACTTCACATGGAGCTAACACTACAGATATTCAAAAGCACTTAACATTAAATTACCATTAACAGTTTTCTTATAAAGAAATATATTCAGTTGCTTTTCAAGGTATTGCGAGGCTGCTCCTTTGTCCGGCAAAGTTACCACCCGTCCCCCCACAGTTGCATAGTTTCTGTGGATCCAAACCTTTCTTTTCTGTAGTAAACAGAACGCGTGACACACAAACCTAGCCTCCCACGCAGGCGATTTTAGGGGAGCTCGTAAAAACGCCCGCGTGGGAGGCTAACACAAACCTAGTAGTAAATGACATACAACTGACAACAGCTTGACTGGCATCAGAACGGTTCCCTAACCGTCAGTGATCCGACTACAATCAGAGACGCAGATATTTTTGCCTTATGAACGTAACATGTTTATTTGATATATAATGAACTCTTTTTTGTGATTGGTCGCGGGGAAAAAATTAAATAGCCCTCGAAAGAAAAACCTTCCACGTATACCAATTTATGAAAGTAAATCTCTGCGAGCGGCCATCACTAGCGAACATCAGTCCACCAATACACTCTGACGTCGGAGATTTTGCAAAGTTACTCGCTTACTAGCTTTTGGCGGGAAACAGTTTATTGTTAGAAGTCATGTGACCTTGAAGTAACCAATGACAGCCCACTATGTTGGGAAACAAAATCCAGTCATATAACAATTACATACACGACTTGTTTATTAAAACAGTTCATGCTGCCTTACCACCGTCGCAATCGTTGCACTCGTCAATGATCGCACCCGACCTGAACTGAGAGAATTTGCTGATTCTGATCTGGTAAAAACTGCTTCAGACTGCGACAGGAAAAAAAAAAGATTTCATTGTGTGTTACCAAGACATTTCAAAAGCTACCTGTGCGTCATTACCGATGTGAGTAACTGATTAAAAAAGAGTACTTAAAACAAAAACAAAATGGAAAAACAAAACAGAGGAAAGAAGCAGAAGGCAAATAAGCTATCAGGCGATACCTCTGCATGAACCACTTTCGAAAGTCAATACTTGCTTTTATTATTTTTTAAACAAAAAAATGTTTTTTCTGATTTTGCGAAACACGAAAGAAGTGACTTCCGTGATGCCGTATGTTGCTCGTGGGTGTCCTACGCAATGTCACGCCATGATACCATGAACGGAACATGGGGACTTCAAAATAATACAGTTAAGAGGAACAAACATGAAATATGTCATTTGATGACGAAACGAAAACATTTTTACCAATCGGTGTGTTTGATTTTCACTTTCACGAATTAGTAAATACGTACGAAAACAACAGTTGCACTTAAAAACAAACCTACATCGATTAAAGGTGATGTTACACGGAACGATTCGCAACGACGATTTTTAGCGCAACACAGCGCTGCAATGTTGGAACGATGTTACAACTATTCGAAACAATGTTGTAACAATTTTGCAACGCTGTGTTGCGCTAAAAATCGTCGTTGCGAATCGTCTCGTTTAACATCACCTTAAAGCTACGTGCAAACGCATGTAACAACTTCCAACAATGTTTGGACCTGCAGTACATCGTGGGAAGGATACAACCCATAAGACTTTGTAGACCATGTGTAATGCGTGTGCGTAGCCCTAAAATATTGGAAGAGCTGTGCAAACGGATCCAACATTGTTGCGCTATGCTTCGGCGATCACGGGAACAAAAGAAATGTTCGGAGTTGCCGGCTCAAAAGTTTGACCGGTTTCAAACTCTGCGCAACAACATGCAACAGGGTGTGCAAACGGATCCAACATTGTTGCGCTACGCGTCGGCGATCACGGAACAAAAGAATTGTTGGGAGTTGTTGGCTGAAAAGTTTGACCGGTTTCAAACTTTGCGCAACAACATCCAACAACATGCAACAGGGTGTGCAAAAGGACGCAACATGTAACATTCAACAATGTTGGGAGTTGTTAGCCAACGATGATGCGTCCGTTTGCACGGGGCTTAAAACTCACCTGACTGGACATAAGCATGCCCCTACTTGTTTTTTTCACTCTTGTGGAAATGTTCTGTACGAAAAAAAGAACAAGTCAATATTTCGTGAAGTCAATTAATAAAGGTTAAACAAACCCAAAGGCAGGGCCTGTTTAACTCTCCGGAGATCAAGCAAACACGACGACGACGAAAACGAAAACGTCAAAAAGAAAAACGATAATAAGGAAAACAACAATTCTGCATCTGCTGCACACTTTTGATGCATTTTTCATTTATTTGTTTGCAACACGAATGTAAAAATACAGCAGAATATATAAAATAAGTAGAAAAGAAATTTCTTTGCCATTATCACACGACTACGACGTAAAATTTGCTAACTGATACAAAATGACATGTGTTTAACTTAGATAAAGAAGTAAAACGTTTTGTTGAAAAGCAGAAATAAATAAATACATAGAACGGGATATAACACAGAGTTGAAACCCCGAGCCTCGAGCTTGACATTTTAAACTTGCTTAAAAGGAGGGGATGGACGGTCGGCGTGCAGAGTGTACCCTATATAAACAAACTGCACAGTGCATAATCTGAAGGGTCCTCTTCCTTATTGTGTGTCACTACAAACGTATTATGGTTTTTCCAAGGGCACTCTGGGACAGACATCACTTTTTGGCTTGGCTGCGGCTGAATTTTGGAGCAGTTTTAAATCAACTGCTGGAAAACCAAGAACACGGCACAGCAAAATAGAGTCTACTGACACAGATACTGTGACAAAGACCTCATCAGCCATGAGTCATTTCATCCCACAAAAACCAATGGTATGTGAATTTCGCCAAGACAAATCAAATTACAGGTATCGAATTCCTTACAAGTAGCATCACAGTTCAAGATTTTTTTTACTAAAACGATAGCACTTACAGAAATAATAGGACTGACATTCACTCCGGGCCAGATAGAAGTTGAGATTTTATGCTGTGGTGGAAAAAAGCGAAGGGTTAACGCTTAAGGAAGAAATACATGCGCAGTTTAAAACAAGCATGATTTATAAGAACAAATTATAAAACCAGATTCTTTGCCTTATTCAACATTAACTAAACGCAAATTTCTTTGAATCTTCTTCACGTTCGCTCATTCGGCCGTTCTTCTTTTCTGCTCTTTTGTACTTCATCTGTGTTCTACAGTTTGGAACATCTATTTTGATATTTAAGTCAATTCAATGATCTTTCAGACGTAAGAACTGAAATTGCCTAAAATAGCGTGATCACTTTTAGCATACCAATAGAGTAAAAACCTGCGAGTAAGAACCTGCCCTTTTTTAAAATTAGCCTAAACAGGTTCTTACACAAATGGTACTGAACACAAATTTAGGTTTTAAATAGGTTCTTCTTTTGTTAAGAAAAAAAATACATTGTAGCTAAGAGTATTTAGTGGTATTCAGCATATTTCTCATGTAACATCTACAAACCATTACATTGCAGTTGAAGGGGATAAGGCACCTATGTCTCCGAAGAGGGTACTGAAAGTTGACTAATCTTATTTGGCCAAGTGTACAGAATTTTTTAATAGATTTTAAACAACAAGAGCCTGTTTCAAATTTTAGTCTAAAGAGGTTCTTGTAAAGAGGGGACCTAACTGGCAATCTTAGCCTGAGGTTCTCACAAGACAGGTTCTTACTCACGGGTTTTTACAGTATTTTAAAACACTAATAAAAACAATGGCCACTGTATACTTCAAATATGAGCCGTTTTTAAGAAAACGAATGTTACTTTTACCTTTTTCTTGGTTTTAATTTTGCCTTTGAGCAAAATTTTACGCTTCAGATCGTTAGGAGAAGGAAGTGTATTCACACCTAGCTCGTCACAGAGGTTAGTTGTAGCCAACATATCACCAAGCTCTGTTACAAAAATGTCTGCCATTATAGCCTGCAAGTTAAGGACAAAGTCAAATCAGCCAAGGACACCTTGTTGGACATCAAATTTAAATCACTGCGTGCTGTATGCCACCATAGTTTTTAGAGAGGAATGGTCATGGAGCTCGTCAGACTCCTGTCATGTTCTTTAGTGGACCTGACCGTGTACAACTTTCATTGTTATGTTCCTAAACTTTCACTCAACTAAACAGGGACTACCATTGGCTGATTCTTGGTCACATGGACTTCACTAAAATCAAATGTATCCCGATCGTGATACATTTAATAAACAATGTACCCCACTCGGGATACATTACAGCACGTGATCAAGGCATAGTGGAAAGTGGCGTGACCGAAGGCGGGAAAAACACTGCCAGATTTTTTTTTCGTGAATGAACACAACAATACAAACATGAAGCCTCAAGCTAAAAAGCAACGATTTTCAAAGTTATCACAGAAGAGAAACAGCTGCTAGTGGAGGAAAAAGATGCAGATAATATAAGGAAAGTACTTTGTAAATCATTCATTCAGTAGTTTTGAATTTGTGTTCTTATAAGTACCGAATCGACTGTTTTGATTCGCTCCGGTTATCGAGTCCTGATGTTTCCCGAGACGAAATGAGGACTCTCGGGAAAACAAAACTAACTGTTTCCCTGGGGATCTGACATTAAGTGTGTAATAGCGTTCCTATCATTTTGATGTTACTGACCAATAAAAACGTCGCATTAATTTATTCAGTCACAATTTGTGAACAGAAAACATAAGGTTTATGTACCGCCAGGAAATTTCCAACATGAATTGCAGCACTGTCGTTGTTTTTACCTTTGATATTTGCCGTTTTTCATGACCGTTTTTCTCCTCTACTAATTATGATGCCACCCATCGACATTCCAGTCCTAGCAATATCCCGGATGTTTGTCATGTGTAGCCTGCAACCAAGCTCTCCGGTGCACTCTGGCGGCGGGGCGGGAAAAGGAAGGAAAGCTTGCTACTACGTCTCTGGAATTTGAATATCTGCATCGAAAAAGTCGATGCGAAATGCTGATTGGCGTAGATGGCATTAGTAATGACGTCGTTACTCTTAACGCGTGCTTTCACGTGTTTTTCAATGTCTTCTTATATTTGCGCTCGTTTCCGCAGAGAGGCAGTTGCAAGCTCTCCTTCCTTTTCCCGCCCCGCTGCCAGAGCGCCCCGGAGAGTTTGCTCGCAGGCTAGTCCCATGCACCTATACTTCAATGGCCTTAGCACCTGGCACGAGACTCCTAATACTCCTATGGCTCAGTGGTAGAGCATCTGGACTAAAAACCAGAGTGACATAGGTCACACTCTTGTTGGGAGTATTTGGGTTTTTTTCCGAGTTGCCTCCGTCACTGACAGGAGAGACATCATTTCTCAGTGTTGAATGTTGTTGGATGCTACCGAATCAGGTCTAAATATTTGGGCCCGTTCAAATCGATTCACATGATGTTGGAACGAAATGCTAGATCCGTGCGAAACGTGCCCTATACCATTCGATACTTACCACCAAACAAAAGAGTTTTATAAAAACTTGCAATAATTATGAACGGAGACTTACCTGTTGTTCCTTGTTGCAGTGGTTCTCCAGGGACAAAATCAAGGGAAATTCGGATGCCTCAAAAGCATATTCCTAGAAAAATAAGCAAAGATATTCATTTGCAACCTCTGATTAGTGCTCCTTGCTTTGTGACTAGGCCACTGTTAACATGTTGTCCGGTTCCAGGCAAAACGCTAGAAAATTCTACATTGAAATGACTTGTAAGACCAAAAGACAGGTGTATAGTGCCAATTATAGGGCTGTAATTATACATTTTCTTACGTTAATTTACGAATCAAGATACAAGGGCCATGATATCATTTTCTTACGCTACCATACAAATCGCGATACAAGGGCCACGATGTGATACATTGTGGGCACAAACGACTGCACAGCTGATAAGTAACAAATAAGTGCGCATGCGTTTGTTCGCTATCTTGTCCCCAATTCTGAATAGATAATGCACGTAAAGTACAGGCCCCGGTTGTTCAAAAGTTGGATAGCGCTATCCACCGAATAAATCACTATCCAGCGGATAAGTATTACAGAATTCAATTATGCTATCCACTGGATAGTGATTTATCCGGTGGATAGCGCTATCCAACGTTTGAACAACCTGGGCCAGATGGTTTGCTTTGTCATTTTTTCAACAGTAAGTCGCCTTACATGAAGGGCTAAAATGCACGCTTTCGGTAGGGAATAGGGTTAGGTTAAGGGTTAGAAGAAAGGTATTTCCAAAACTTGTCGGTGAATCATATATTTGTCTCTGGGGTCCTGTTGCAACAATAAGGTTTTTATTTATGTATTTCTTACTCTGATAACTTGAACCACATCTCTGAATCTGACTTTGGAAGTTAACGTGAGTCCATGAGTAATAACAGGTTCATCTGAAAAGAAAAACATTTAAGACTTGAGTGTGGCAAAACGCAGTTTCTGTTGTGATTAACTGACGTGGTTGCATAGCATCGCAGGGGCCTGTTAAGGGCACGCCTTCCCGTTGCTTCACGTTGTACACGCTTGTGAAGTGCTCTACTTGCGCGTGTTTCATGCTATTTTCTGGCTCCACTATCCCCTAAAATGGAACTTCTGGTATTCTAGGGTTGTTAATGTACCTGGTCCATCCCAACAGTCAAGTTCAATACAGCGACAGCCTTGAAGCAGAGCTCTCACATAAGCTTCAAGACTGGAATGGCCTTTCAGTTGCCTTCCCGTCAGATATGTGTTGTGAGAAGAGTTGATAAAATAATCTGATAAAGGATGGTCCATGTCCTACAAATACGTGGGTAGAAGACATTTAGTTTAAATTAGTCTGACTTTCAACTAATGTGACCTGTTTCCTCCTTGCCTTGAAGATTGGAGGCTACTTGTCAACGTTTGGAAGAAATAAGAAAAAAGTGTAAGTCTGACTAGTTAGAAAATTTAAACAAGAATCTGGTTTCAAAATGACATCCCATTGAAATCTACATAGTGTGTTCAAAGAAGATGAGGGACACTTATAAAAACCAACTTTAACAATAGATTAAATTAAACCTGTTGCTTACTTTTTAAAAATTGCTGCTTTAAAAAAAAATGAGGCAAAAAACAGATTTGGAGACAGACACAACGATAGAAAAACATGTGCTTACCTGATAAACAGTGTTATGCTCTGGATTGACAGCAGAATTATCCTTACTGCGAAGATAACTGGAAAACATGTCACAAAAATGTGAGATTTGTAGGGAGTGGTGAGAAAAGTCAACAAGTATTAGTTAGCCAAAAATGAAGCATAAGACACACCCTAATGCAAAGTGAGAGATGGCTATGTTGTGGATCAAATTTTATTTTCCTTTGTTTTGGGGTATGGTAATGTATGATAACGAGTTTTAAACAAAAGAAAATAAAATTTAAACAAAGGAAAATATTGAACTACAACAATAAAGCTACATACATACAAGCATGAGCTTTATTTTAACACAAATTTTAGACTAACAATGGAGGCGAATATCTCTGAGTGGCTAAGAATGACACACAGGACACATCTGTGGAACATAAGTGCTAAATTATTCAGGCTACTATTATGGAATTCCTGAAAAGAAAATAGTAGGTACTAGGGATTCAGGTTCAGATTCAGGGTTGAAAATTCAGTTCAACATGGTCCTCATGATGCACCACTACCCCGATTGAGCAGCCCAATCTGTCAACTAGAATTAAAGCTACTGAGAAGTGCACCAACTACAAACAAACAATAGCTGCATACAGGGTGTGGCTCGTAGTGTGATTTGTGTCTCTCTTGCAAGAAGGTGCTATTAAAACTAAATAATATGTTAGAGTCAAAATAATGCTGCAGAAGTTTTCTTTTCACTTTATGTGAATTAGTACTTGGTTTCAAAGATTTCACAGCTTTTGTCAGCTTGCTCATTTGTTTCTCATCAGCTGTATGTTCACCTCAGAAAGCCATGAAATGACAAAAAAGACTTGCTCAGTCGAAAGGACACTGGGTCGTTTCCTGCACATCTCTGTTTGTACGTCATATGAAAGTTGTCATGGACAGACATCAGTCTTGCACAGGCTGGCAAACTAAGTGACTCCTAAGACCAACAAATGACAACACAACATAGAAAGAAACACATAAATAATCTCCTTCACATCAGATCACTCATGAAGTACAGCTACCCTGACCCCAGCTTTTATAAGGAGTGAACAGGCTATACTGTGGTGTAATGTGATACTTATTGTCTTTAGAAGAAGTATTCTGTAAATTCTGGAAAATACAATTCATCCCAAAATACACTGATGCTAGTTGATCTCCCCAAAGTACGTAGCAAGCATGAAAACTTGCCCAAAAATGTAGACTACATGTGCACGAATTCTTCTCAGTAAAATAAAATAAACAAATAAACAAACTGGTTTATGGAGCAGCCCTCGTTACGCTAATGAGCCAGTTGCAAATCATCAAAATTCAAACTTGATTCCCAGGCTGGGGGAAAAAAACAAACAAAATTCATCCCTAAACCTCAACGCAATAAAATATTGCTTTTATACTCCTCAGCCTGCGAAATTTTTCTAATGAGGACACCTACAATCACACAGTAGACAGCTCAGTGACTGACCTCTTGCTCTCTGTGAAGAAACTCTGCAAACTCAGTTGGTGTCATACCAAGGTTGGGATGCTCCTTTGCATACTTAAAGAAGATCTTCAGCAACTAATAGACGACAGCAAAGTTATATTTTGTCAGCACTGGAACTATTTACTAGTATATTAACAATTTTTAAATTGTCAACTTAAGGAAAGTACCAAGCTTTTTGAGAAAAATCCACTTTTCAGCATAAAACAACCCAATCTGGCTATTTAATATAAAATCAGGTGAAAAAATCGGCAAAAGGCGATTTTGGGGGTTTTTGACTAAAAGTTGAACCTGGAATGAAAGACTCAAGAGTGATCATCCAAATAAAAGCTACCAAGCTGTACTTAATTCATGTGGTGAAACAGTTTATTTAACTGTATTAGGTGTTGGTTAGTTTTGAGCCTAAGGATAAAACCTGCAAGTGAAAGCCAGTGAGATGTACTGAATACTGCCAGTTCAAACAGACTTGGCTTTTTAGTTTCAAAATTTATTATCACACTCACATTTGGCTGTTCATTAAGATTATTGAACAACATCAGAAACGAGTTCCACAAGAGATTTTCATTGTGTTGAATAATTCCACACTGCACCTCAAGAACATCCTGCAAAGCCATTGCAGATAATAAAGTTAGTTACAACTAAACAATTTCTCAGACAAACAGCAAAACACTTTAATAATACAGGCTTGTAACATTTAATATGTATTTGATTAGCTTTAAACAAATTTTGGGAATTATAAAAAATTAGAAATAAGAAAAAATACAAAAAACTATAATTTTCACTTTACCTTCTATTATCTTCCCTCCGTTCACAATTCAAACTTAAGTACCTCTAAATTAATTCTATGCTGTCAGTGCTTTTCCTCTCAACAAGAAACTGAATTAGATATTGCGCAGTCTCAAGCAAATGAAAAGCTGATCAGCAGGTTTTAACTGACAAAGATCACTGATGAATGGTCTAATATTCAACCACAACCTTGATATAATTTCTTAATTGCTGTTTCTTCTTAGCTCCACTGCAGCAGTGTTGAGCAAATGATAAGGCCTGATCCACTGAAATTCCTTTGCTCCGCCGTGATGACATCACTGACCAATGTCGCTTCAACCACCTTTAAAGGCTATTAAGGAAATATTTCTGCTCCCTTTTTTCAAGCAAGGCACTTAAACACATGTACCTAGGTTAGATATTGAAGGTATACTGCAAACTAAGTATTGCTCCAAATAGAACCTACAAGGTCATATTATTATTTCACTCTATTATTAGTGTGCCTTTGTATTAAGATGCCTGGGCCCAAGACTGGTATAAAGAATCTGATCTTGATAAGTACATGTATGTTAGTAAGTAAAAAAAGTGCTTTCTTCAATGTTATTTTGTGCATTGTTAAAGATTCTTTTTATGGGTTAGAGGATAAACATAATACACGCATATGTAAGTGATCAGCTGAAATCTAGTATTAAGCTGGTTTATTAAAAATCACATTCATCTTCGCTCACATAGTATTTATAGAACAATATCACACATTAAACTGCCCAACGTGGTGAATAAATACAAGATTCAGCAAGATAAAAGGAGATGAAAAATCAAGGAGGTCGAAAGATGAGGTCATTCTCCTCACCACATTCATTGTGGACTGAGGTCCAACGCATATATACAATAACAATAAATGTCCAAAGGATACAGAACAACTGGATCAACACCATCAAACCTATGGCGGTTCACTCTTTGATCTTGGCCATAAATAATTTCCCTCATCTGAAGTGAAATTTGTTGTGTGTAATTAGTATAACTCAGGGCTGTCACTAAGGGCCACCTGGCCAGGGCTTCTTTCTTAGGAAACAATCAGGAAATAGACAAAATTCCATGATTACCGGTATTTTCAATTTTCATCTCACCCAGTTGAGTTGAGTTCAGGGTATGTAGAAGAATCTGATAGATTACAGTGGAAGAATTTCCAGTGACCTTCCATGCAAAATAATGAAGTCAATAGCTTTTTGCACAAGAGTGTGGGTTATACAACCACACATAATTTATCAAATATGAACTAAATACCCATAATTTAATAGATAAAATTTTATATAATAAATGCACATAATATATAAATGTTAACTATAATCATACGGTGTATACTCACAGCACTAGACCACTTTTCAAATGCCGCAGATGAGTCACATATTAGATCCAGTGAACATAACTGACTCCACTCACCTACACGACATTAAAAAAAGGAAGACTTACATTGTAATAATCCCCACTTCTCCTATCTTACCTATAACCTATTTCCAATTACCAGCCCTGGTGCATACCACAGCTACATTAAATCAAAATTGTGATATGAAAAAATATAAACCTACAATGTATGCATGCTGATCAGTAAAATGTACGGTATTTAAATGATAACATAATACCCTGCTGTTTCTCAAACATGAGCGAGAATGACTGGCTTTCAACCTCAGTGTAAGGGAACTTGAAAAAGTTTCTGGTTTGCTGACCACATCGTACCTCAATCACTCTATCTAGGCATACTTTACATCAACAAAGAAAAAAAAACAAAAATGCAGTGTTAGTACTGCTACTTAAATGTATGTCAGATTATGATAATGTTAGTATAGATAATAGCATGATTAGTAGTGATATTTGGCATAAATACCGCAAGCGAATTTTTTTTTTTATTTCGAAATTGTTATACGTAATTTCATGAGCCGTTAATTTGAGACAATTTTGAAATATCACAAGTGGTGTTTATTCCAAATATCATGTACAAATCATGCTATTGTTTGTTTATACTACTACCCGTAAAAGGTTTGTAATTTTCACATGTAGGTATATATTTCAAATTAAGGTGAAATACCACTACTCTAAACCAATCAAATTGCAGAAATTTCTCATGTAGTGGTATAATAATAACATAACAACAGTCATAACAACAGTAATAGCAATTATAGTATTACAGTTGAGCCTCCATTGGGACCAGCAGATGTGGACATACCCTGTGGGGTACTCCCATATACAGTGAGTGTAAGAGCTGGATAGGGTATGAGCTGCCCAATAGGGTATGGTTTTTGTGGGCCTCCATTCTTAAAAGGTATCATTTTTGCCGCTGTATTCCTGTTATGCTCCTTTGATAGGGTAGGGTAATTCTATAAGCTAAAATTCAAGTGCGTAAATGCCCAGCTACACCAGAAACAAATCATCTGTTAAAACTGAACTTTACCTCAAAGTATAAGGACAGTGATTCATGGAAGTTTTTTGTGTTTTCATTAATTCTTAGTTTTCTTTTTTCTCTTAAACTTAGTCTCATTTTCAAGGTTTGGGCCTTAAATGGGGTCTCAATTTTCATTTGTTTCACATCTGTGTGGGCAGCACACACCTAAACAAAAAAATTATGAGTACCCCCCCTTTCCCACCCCCTGGGGTTTAAACAGCTGTTTGAAGTTGGGTACTTTCTGCTCAATTGTCGAGCATGTGTGAAAGCTGGGTATGAATGTTGCTATGATGTCATCAAAGGTGACCACTTGTTTGTTTCATAAGCATATGCGTATAACAAGGATGTGACAAAGAGAAGGTAATCATACATTGCCATCTAAATTGATATAAGTAGCAGTGTTGACAGAGTGTTAACAGTTGCAATTCTATTTTATCCTTTCAATTTCTTCAATAAAATATTCTTTATACAATAATTTTGCACCAAAGATAAAATTAAACCACAAAAGCTTTCCTAAAAAAGGAACTTACAGGTATTGGCGAAATTAAAACTGTGAGCTTTCCCTCTTTTCTTCCACATAATGTGCTGCAGGCAGGTGTTTAAAAAACAGTTAGATGCTAATAAATGAGCAAGTTGTTATTATAATGTAATGAGCAAGTGAAAACCAGTACTAGTATCTGTGGTTGTTTATTCTGTGTTTAGCAAGTTGTTGGTGTTGTTGTTTTGTTTTTTTAATAAAGGAATGTCACTTAGCTTTTATTTTGCAGTTGCTACCACATGTAGGTATGTGCAATTAATAGGCAGGGTATTAGACAAACAAAAGGAAATTCTTTTGGTTGTGAATTCTTTTCGTTTTGTATGAAAATAGCTGGGGTTCATACTTATGGTAGTTTGAGGAAATCTCCCGCCCCCGCCGGCCCTAAGTGACAGCCATGAAATACCTTTTAAAGTTTCAGTTAAGGGCCATTACTTTCACAAATCCTTCATTTGTTTTGGTTCAGAGGATGTAATTTTCTGAAGATCATAAAATCCACGTCAGAAGAAGAGTTGAATTTACTAAGTAAAAACTTAGAGCAACTTGACAAGAAAATATGTCATACCTTCTGGTTTGTTTGTTGTTGTTGTTGTTTTTAATCTTTTTCTTGGTTGGGGGGGGGGAAGGGGGGAAGATACCAAAGCAATGGGGACCTGCTTTGATTCTAACCTCCTATTGTTTGAAATAATTATTAAGTAGATTGTTTGTATTTAAAAAAGTAGACTCTCTATGTAACTGAGTCATAGCCATTACATTAAAAACAAATTTAAATCAAATTTAAAAAATACTATATAATATTTTTATTTATTTATTAGAAGATTATTGTCCTTAAAAAGCAAAAAAAAAGAGAAAGATTCCAACAACCCCTCAGGCTATACAGGAGTGGCTTCACTTGCTTGCTGTGGATTAATAATAACAATGTCTATCAATGGTTTATTTCTTACCAAGTTGTCATTATCAAGTTTAAAGACTCTTTCATGTGGGATGGATCTTCCTCCTCTTGCATACTTTATCATTGGAAACTCATGATGAAGCTCACTGGCAGCTGAGAAATTCAAAAAAAAGGGGTACAGTTAGTGGGTCAAAAGTGATTTATTTTTTTCTTATTTTCTTCTCTCAAAATTACCATTGGTTTTTTTTGGTTCTTGTTTTTCTTTTTCTTTTGTAACTTTTTATTTTGTAGTTCCTATTTCTCTCCAGCCAGATAAAATGCTTAACATTGCAATGGACTAGTATAACATCTAGGGTGAGAAAAAACGCTCCCAGGTCTTCATTATCCAATGGCTTGAACTGAATGAGCCCTAACAATGAGTTACCTATAAATAGTTGTCTACTGTACCTGAGAACGACACTTTATCTCCAACTGGACAGCACAAAGATGGATAGAGCATCTGTTTTAATAACAAAAACACTAAAGTCAAAAGCATGAAAACAACTCCGATCCAAAGAACAAGATCTTGCTTATAAGTATATTATGTAACACACAAGCACAAAAAATCAAAGCTAAAGAGAAATAAATGTTAGTATCTTAGTTTAATTTAAAGCCTTACCAAATGTTTTCACAAAAATGTTGAGCCAAATATAGAATCAAAGTCAACCATAAAATAATATTTGATCACCGAAAGATCACAAGATCTTTAGTGGCTTTAATCCTGGCAGCATTTAATACCATTGGAGTTTAAGGACATAATGAACAATAACTCAAGCAAAGTTTAACAAAGTTGTGGTTGATTTGCTAGGATTATTGTGTTAGTAAAGACTGTGTTCAGCACATGTTCATTATAAACAGTAACCTTCTTTCTTGTGGACAGGATGAGTTGTTTTTCAACAGATGACATTATAGTTTCTACTTTCCTTTGTCAGTTTTTTGAAAACTGAAGAAGTAAATCCATGTTGTTATTTCTGTCATGATTGATCTGACCAACATATTTTAGTCAACAAATGAAACTCTAAGGTGTTACACTTTGAGCTTGCCTTTTAAAAAATCCCTTAAAAGGCAGGTATTGATCACTAAATCAGAGGGAAAACATTAAGTCATCCGCTTAATTGAGAAACCACAAGCCTAATACTTTTCTGTTGCATCCATTGTGTTGTATCAGCTCCCAAATATTACTTTTAATTTGTAAGATTTTGTGTAATAAATCATTCACCAGAAGATCGATTTAAAACCTTTAAGTACATACAAAAGCCCTTTTATTGAGAGTTCAAGGCCTTCATTTCTTGAGCAAACAAGAAAAAATCCTCTGTCACAAGATTGCTGAGTTCACAACTTCACAAACAATCATGGACCACAAAGAAAATGCTTTCACTGTGGACAAAAATTGTGAAAACCTGAACAATATGCTTTTTATTTTAAATTACTGTTATTTTTTTATACCTATCTCTGATTATGGCATTACTAAGCAGTTAAATTATAAAGGCATTGGGTAACTTATGATGTAGATAGTGTTTTGTAAGGTTCATTTTCCACCCTACACATTAGCTGAACATTCACACATTTGCTACCACTCAGCCGTTTACAAACTGAAGATGGAAGGTAAAAGATGTTTATTTCCATTCGAAGTCTATGTCAGGTAAGACAGACACTATTAAGTCTGAAATTTACATTTTGGAATGAACAATAGTGAATGATAAAGAACGATACAATCAAAAAATCAAAGTGAATGAAACAATAGCAGCAGTAAATACACGCACCTCATATGAGGGTGCATGGAAGCATACTGTACAACAAATTTTGCAGTATTGAGATTTTATTAAAGAGAGCTCATGTTTATAATTGGGTGTAGAACTTGAACTTCTAGGCAAATAATTCATGTCATATGTCACTTGAAGCATAGCCCTCAAGAGATCGATAAATAATAATCTTCACCGGAAGTGGGTGCCAAAGCAAATAAGTGTAAAACCTAAATAACCTAACTTTGCTTAAAGCAAGTACGCCCTAGAAAAAATGAGCCTCCTAGAAAGGAGAAAAATCAAATTAAAATTAGCTACTCAGTTAAAGGCCCGGATGTACAATCCATCCACTCAAGAATTAAGGAGAAACACTCAACTACATCTCATGTTTCCCCTACTTTTTTCATACTCTAGCCGCTTCCTGCATGCTTTACAACAGAACGGAGCAATGTCAAGGCTTCTTTATTTGTTAAACAAAAAATCACTGCTAACACTTTTCACTAAGATACCTTAATCCCAGGGACATTCTGAAAGCTGTAAATTTCATCTTTCTTGTTAAATCCTGGAGTGCCAGAATCTGAATCTAGACGCCACTGTTGAATTCCTAAAATGTAATGAAGGTTTTAACACTTAAAGACCCAAAATTGACAATCACTCCAGGCCCAAGAGACCTATATCCATAGATACTGTTCAAAATTATGACCATTTAAAGGTCTGTATAAAGAAAAATATGACTGTAAAATTCAGTAAGACTGACTGCACATGGTATCTCCCTTAAGAAAGTCATTATTGTGTGCAGTTCAATAATTACTTAAAAAAAAAAAAACAGATATTGGGGCTACAATATTCTAAAGCTATTGGAATATCTTACCGTTAACATAAATATCTGTTTTCACAAAATTTAAGCACCAGGATACTGCAAATTTTCTCTTGGATTCCAATTTCTTTTACTTAGACCTTAACTTTCTTGTTATTTTATAATATCATATTATAGAATTAAAGCTATTTAAAAATATATGCATTAAGAGTTAAGTGAATTCCCAATGTTAAAAACTTCATCGATCATATTCAATTTCATTTAATTTGTCAAATATTATTAATGTTGACGACATTTTCTGGGGTTGAATCCGAAAGGTTGAAAATAGAAAAAAGAGAATTTTGTGTTGTGTTCACCTACCCCCAGCCCATAAAGCAGGCGCATGGAATTAGGAAGTTTCATGTCACAGTCATGCAATGAAGGCTAAGAAATCTAAAAAAAGGCATGATGCACATGCAAAGTTGTTGTTTTGCTAATATAAACCTATTGCTTTTTTGCTATTGTTGTCCCCATTGTCATTGCTTAAGCTCCCATTTGTTGTGATCCACAAATTTTGCTACCTTGGTAACATGATGTCCTACTTCTCTTCTCTATTGCACATCCACACAAGCTAAAATTTGTGGGTGGTCTTACCATTCTCAATTGCCTTTATCCACTCTTGACACTCTTCCTTGCTACAGGCTTGTAAAATCAGTGGGTGCTTAAATGGTCCAGTGATTCTAAATGAGCAATTGTCTTCAGGAAGTCTCTCTACCGTGTCTATGGCAGCTAATGGTAGACTTCCTTTCAGTTTTTCCTGGATGATAATAAACTTTGTATTAATGCTTGCAACCTCTTTCAAACATAGTGTCCAGAGTTGGAAAAAGAGGGGAGGGAAAGGAAAAGGAGCATGGGGAGAGGGAATAAGGAAAGAGGAGAAAAAGTCAAAGGCGATGTACAGTACTGTACATGATCCCTGATCCCAAATGTTCTCCAGACCATAGGCTAGGGTTATTGCTCCTATATCCACTGTTTTGTTGGAGCATTTGAGAACCTTTGCAAAAGACCGTTAAATATGGGCTTTCTGGAATAACCAATTTTATTGCAATGAACAAACATCCGTAAAAACAGCTTTTCAAGACATAAGATATCTAGGTAGTGTTTAGTAGGTTATTAACATATTTTGAATAAATGGTTTGACGCATGGGTAAATTTTGAATAGTTGCCGGTAGGTGGGGGATTTCACGCTTTTTGAAGCACTAGCCGGTGGGGCATTTGACCATCTAAACTGTCAACATATACCAGGGAGTTTGAGCAAAATCTTTCCAACAAGTCAAATGTCCGGATGTTTTCGGGGGGGTGGGGGGGGCATGGGCAGTTTTGGAATTGCTGGTTTGCACGTGACGTCACGGCGGCCATGTTGGTGGTCAAGAACAAAACAAAAGCATTTCTCTCCTCTGGGAACTAAACTCTATTTTCATGTAAATTCTTCGAGTAAATATTCTTTTGTTTTGACCCCCAACATGGCCGCCTTGTCACGTGGTTGCAAACCATGAATTGAGTCAGACTGGTACATAACTATCCAGCTGGTCATCAAGCTGTACATTTTACAGTAACTTCCACAAACAAAGACAGAAACTAAAAAAATTAACTACTACCGTTTGGTTATTTCGGAAGTGATCCAACGAGCTTCTGGTTAAGACAAAGTATCTGTTCTTCGAAGATGTGCGTCCAGTATGAAAAGAAGTCTTCCACAGAAAACCACATTTCACAGTAGCCACAGCTGATTCCTGAGTGAAGGTGGTTTTGCTTCGTTGCCTCTCCAAGGAATAATTTCTTCCTTCCGTGTTACTCATGCTGTTTAAATGTCAAATCCGCATAATTTTGTGTATAAAATAGCTTCAGGCAATATCGAAATATCCGTTTTTGTGTCCAAAACCCGACTTGACCCCTCTCGACGACAAAAACTCGGAAGTGAAGCGTGACTTCTTGGCGACCCTGCCTGGAAATCAAAGCTCATTTCACTTGAACATCCTTCAAATTTGATGCACAGTCATTCTGCGGATTCAAGGATCCAGAAAGTCAATAGAATCCTCCTTCCAGGCTACATTCCTTCATCGTTTGTTAGCGATGATTGGGCGTCGATACACTCATACTACTCCGCTAACAAATGTTCCTCGGCGGGGGGCGGTTAGGGATGTGGTCAGCTGATGTCATTGTGATTGTTATTTTTTTGGTTAAAAAACGATAATGGTTTTTCCAAACATTGTGTCTCTCTAAGCCACCGATAAAAGTAATTTTTTTCTTGGAATAGGAAAGCCAAAAGACCTTTGAAAACCACCGGGGCATCCATCCTACCCGTCTTCCCACACTGCAAAAGTACCTTTTTTCTACTACCCAGAGCGTAACTTTTTGTCTCGAAAGGCCAGGCTGCTTTCCCTACCTGGCTGCTCAGCCGAAGGAGGACGCCATGATGTTTTAGTACTTTGCACATTTTCTCTTTGATTTTGCTGTAGTTCGTGTGGTAAACACAACAAGATCAAGATGGGGAGGCGGTCGATATCAACCACAAAGAGTGGAAAGTTTATGAATCCAACTGATCAAGCAAGTAAGACTTTATCTCATTCGTTCATAATGATTTTACTTCCTTCCTCAATTTTGTGTCTTTTTATTTAAACGTTCATTTACATCTGTAGCTATGCTAAGCTTTACTCATTTCACCTTAATTGTGTTTTTTACATTGACAGGAAAGGAAGCAAGAAAGCGAGAATTAAAGAAGGTTTGTATCGATTCGTTCGTTTGTGTACAGAGGCAAGAATGGTTAGGTATTGATGTAATAACTAGCTGCACTAAGATCAAACCATTGAGCTTATATCACAGCTGCATAGCACTCTTTTTAGGGGTTTACCTCGGTGTAAAAATCCGTGAATTTTTTTTTGTTTTCTAGCTACTTTTTTCCTTGGCTCTGTCGTACTGACTTCTCTTTGTATTCATTGTTTTACGTCACTCATGAGTTTCACAGGTTTTTACATTGAGGATGAGCCCTATTTAGTCTTAGATGTATCTCACTTGTTGTCCTCATCCCCTAAGATCTGTATTGTCTGATAATTTTTCTCTATTTTTACCCACAGAATAAGAAGCAGAGAAAGATGGTGCGAGAAGCTGTCTTAAAATCCAAAGACCCTAGAAAAATTTTGGAAGAAATCGAGAAAATAGAAAATATGGGTAAGTAATTTTTATACCACTGAAATGACTACATTTCACTGAGGACAAGTAGAAATCTTCAGGTGTAAGTTATGAAAGTGGTGGAGTCTTAAGGGGTAGAATTAAAAGTTTTGATCCATGTAAGGTTGCTGGTGGAATCTAGAATCCTACATTTTGGACTCTGAAATTCAGCTCAAGGAATCCGAAATCCCCCTTATGATTGAAATCTGAATTCTGAGTTCCACTGAAGAAGAATCTGGAGTCCAGTACCTCGAATCTGGAATCCAAAGTTGGAATCCAAAATGCGAGACTGTGTTTGATTAGCTTCATGGGGCAAAAAGTTGAAGTAATCTTTAGCGGTAAAACCTTAATGCTGAAGGGAATTTATCGAAAAATATAAATTTCTCTAGTAAAGACCTTGAACTACAGCTAGTCCAGCAGTGCAGTGCAGTATTAAATGCATCAGCCCATATCCTCCTGTTAAAATACCACTCAAATGTAAGTTGACAGTTACTCACATCTTGATCCTTGAGATTCAGTTCTTGATAATTTCTCAAAATTTTTGGGAATTGAATATTGAGTGAAGGTACTGCATCATATCTGACTAAAATTATATGTGCATTTAAAGCATATTTTCAGCATTTAATTCTTTGTCATACTATAAAACTTGCATTGCTCATTCATGAAGCCCTCTTTTTCCCAGGTTGTAGAAACCTGAATCCTGAATACTCCTCATCACAATATGCACGTGTACCACCCCGATATATTTTAGAATTTGCAATGATTTTCTTCTGTTAGAAAATGATGCTGGACCAGTCCCTCTTCCAAATGACAAAGCACTGAAAGACAAAAAGAGAAAGCTAAAAGAAACACTTGATAGGATGGTTGGTCTTCTTGTAAGTAAAGTTGTAGGATTTATCTTTTTTATTGTTGAAGTTTATCACCAAAACTCTTCTTCATATCTTAAGTTTGTGAAATAATAATTTGTAGACCTTTTTCAAAGAAGTAAATTATCTAAAATATTTTTCAACACTTAGTTGTAGTTATATAAAAAATATATGGTATGGCCTGGTACATTTAATACAGCAAATAAATGTACAACTTGGATGCTAGTAGATTTGGTAATGTTTCATTGGAAATTTTCTTTGCACTTTTTAAGTGTAAGTTACTGATTTTATGTAGGGAAATATCACAGATTCATACAAAGTTTGTCAATGCAAAAGCTCAATTCAGTTGTAGCAACATACCAGGTTTTCCATTCATACATGTACAGCGTACAGTGTAGTTCTTGGCCCCTTGTGAATTTTTTCCCTTTTGTTTCCTCTTATAATAATTTGTGACATTTCACTCTTCCATAGGAGAAAGATGATCCTTCTCAGTCTGGACTTTTGAGACAGTGAGTTCAATCAGACTTGTTTTCATTTTTGCTTTTATAAGGGCGTGAAAAATACACTTGAAGTCAAATTTGAACACAGTAGAAAAAAACTAGGTCAAGCTTTACACATTCTGTGTGTTTTAGGTCTTGTGGATTTATGAATGACACAATGTAGTAGTTACAGACTGTATTTTGTCATTGCATGTCAAGCAATCTTCTTTGTACCCCAACCCTGTAGGTTGATTGCTGAAAGTGAGAGAAAGCGTTTGCTAGCCCAGATGTCTGCCAATGGTAATACTAATAATTTATTGTTTGAATTTGTAAGAGGGTAGTTATTGAGTAGTTATTAGCTATGTGTAATCATTATGGTAATAGGCTGAGTGGAGTCCATTTCCCTTTGTTATCATACAAGTGATTAACAAAATCCCAGAAGTCTGGGAGAGTTAGTTTGAGTATAAGAATAATTATATTTTCAGGTTTTTAAAATAAGCACAAGGTATTTGGAAAGTTTTTTGCTACAAGCATGACTTGTTGGAAAAACCTATTGAAGTGGACACATCAGTAATTGTATGTAATGTGCAGTTATTATTACTGAGGCATGACTCATACTGTCCTTTTACCTGTCCTACATTGTATTAATGCTGAACTCAGGGAAGCTGATAGCCAATTGGATTTGATAATTTTGTCATATATTATTATTATTTTTTTTGTAATCAGTCATTGAATTTTATCTTTAAATTTTTATGAACAAACGAACAGTAGCAATAAAAGGAAGTTGCATAGTCAAGCTGTTTATACAACTAAACTCTCCACATTGTAATAAAGTTTTAAAACCTTCTTGCTTTAGGGGTTAAGGTCTTCTATATTAAGCTATGTTGATGAAGTAAATGCACCTTCTGCTATGGTTTTGACTGATAATGTAAGCTGATATATATTTTAACGAAGTATGTTTATAACTACGTCTTAATTACTGGGTCCTTTCCTTACAGAGTCAAGACAAAAAGCTTTAGCAGAGGTGTGTAAATTATATACTTTAGTGTAACAAAACATATTTTGTTTGTTTTTTTTGGAAAACGTGTTTAGCTGGCGTGTGTTTTCTTTGTACCACCCTAAAAGTCAATAGATACTCCTGTATTTCACTTCTATTTGTACCATTTCATTTTCCAGTGTCATCAATTCTAAACATTATTTTTTTAAAAAATAACTGTATCGTTAAATTTCTTTTCCATTGTTTCAGGAAGCTAGGATTCCAGCAGATATTCCATTACCACCCAACATCCCTCTACCGCATGCAGGTGTGGTGCTTTTGTTCTATCCAATAAGTATATTATTTTAACAACTTTGTACCATTTTTATCTCTGCTTTCTTCTGCTACTTTTATCATTCTTGGTTGTTTCACCATTTCATGATAATTACCCTGTAGAAATTAGCCATCAAATCAACCTTTCATTCGTAACAGTAGGCACATGGAAAATTCTTAAATCAAAATCAAAATTTCCTCGTGTGAAATTATGAGAAATAACCCTTTAGGTCCCAAGAGTGACCAACATCAATTTTCTCCTATTACTTCCTTCCTCAATTTTGTGTCTTTTTATTTAAACGTTCATTTACATCTGTAGCTATGCTAAGCTTTACTCATTTCACCTTAATTGTGTTTTTTACATTGACAGGAAAGGAAGCAAGAAAGCGAGAATTAAAGAAGGTTTGTATCGATTCGTTCGTTTGTGTACAGAGGCAAGAATGGTTAGGTATTGATGTAATAACTAGCTGCACTAAGATCAAACCATTGAGCTTATATCACAGCTGCATAGCACTCTTTTTAGGGGTTTACCTCGGTGTAAAAATCCGTGAATTTTTTTTTGTTTTCTAGCTACTTTTTTCCTTGGCTCTGTCGTACTGACTTCTCTTTGTATTCATTGTTTTACGTCACTCATGAGTTTCACAGGTTTTTACATTGAGGATGAGCCCTATTTAGTCTTAGATGTATCTCACTTGTTGTCCTCATCCCCTAAGATCTGTATTGTCTGATAATTTTTCTCTATTTTTACCCACAGAATAAGAAGCAGAGAAAGATGGTGCGAGAAGCTGTCTTAAAATCCAAAGACCCTAGAAAAATTTTGGAAGAAATCGAGAAAATAGAAAATATGGGTAAGTAATTTTTATACCACTGAAATGACTACATTTCACTGAGGACAAGTGGAAATCTTCAGGTGTAAGTTATGAAAGTGGTGGAGTCTTAAGGGGTAGAATTAAAAGTTTTGATCCATGTAAGGTTGCTGGTGGAATCTAGAATCCTACATTTTGGACTCTGAAATTCAGCTCAAGGAATCCGAAATCCCCCTTATGATTGAAATCTGAATTCTGAGTTCCACTGAAGAAGAATCTGGAGTCCAGTACCTCGAATCTGGAATCCAAAGTTGGAATCCAAAATGCGAGACTGTGTTTGATTAGCTTCATGGGGCAAAAAGTTGAAGTAATCTTTAGCGGTAAAACCTTAATGCTGAAGGGAATTTATCGAAAAATATAAATTTCTCTAGTAAAGACCTTGAACTACAGCTAGTCCAGCAGTGCAGTGCAGTATTAAATGCATCAGCCCATATCCTCCTGTTAAAATACCACTCAAATGTAAGTTGACAGTTACTCACATCTTGATCCTTGAGATTCAGTTCTTGATAATTTCTCAAAATTTTTGGGAATTGAATATTGAGTGAAGGTACTGCATCATATCTGACTAAAATTATATGTGCATTTAAAGCATATTTTCAGCATTTAATTCTTTGTCATACTATAAAACTTGCATTGCTCATTCATGAAGCCCTCTTTTTCCCAGGTTGTAGAATCCTGAATCCTGAATACTCCTCATCACAATATGCACGTGTACCACCCCGATATATTTTAGAATTTGCAATGATTTTCTTCTGTTAGAAAATGATGCTGGACCAGTCCCTCTTCCAAATGACAAAGCACTGAAAGACAAAAAGAGAAAGCTAAAAGAAACACTTGATAGGATGGTTGGTCTTCTTGTAAGTAAAGTTGTAGGATTTATCTTTTTTATTGTTGAAGTTTATCACCAAAACTCTTCTTCATATCTTAAGTTTGTGAAATAATAATTTGTAGACCTTTTTCAAAGAAGTAAATTATCTAAAATATTTTTCAACACTTAGTTGTAGTTATATAAAAAATATATGGTATGGCCTGGTACATTTAATACAGCAAATAAATGTACAACTTGGATGCTAGTAGATTTGGTAATGTTTCATTGGAAATTTTCTTTGCACTTTTTAAGTGTAAGTTACTGATTTTATGTAGGGAAATATCACAGATTCATACAAAGTTTGTCAATGCAAAAGCTCAATTCAGTTGTAGCAGCATACCAGGTTTTCCACTCATACATGTACAGCGTACAGTGTAGTTCTTGGCCCCTTGTGAATTTTTTCCCCTTTTGTTTCCTCTTATAATTTGTGACATTTCACTCTTCCATAGGAGAAAGATGATCCTTCTCAGTCTGGACTTTTGAGACAGTGAGTTCAATCAGACTTGTTTTCATTTTTGCTTTTATAAGGGCGTGAAAAATACACTTGAAGTCAAATTTGAACACAGTAGAAAAAAACTAGGTCAAGCTTTACACATTCTGTGTGTTTTAGGTCTTGTGGATTTATGAATGACACAATGTAGTAGTTACAGACTGTATTTTGTCATTGCATGTCAAGCGATCTTCTTTGTACCCCAACCCTGTAGGTTGATTGCTGAAAGTGAGAGAAAGCGTTTGCTAGCCCAGATGTCCGCCAATGGTAATACTAATAATTTATTGTTTGAATTTGTAAGAGGGTAGTTATTGAGTAGTTATTAGCTATGTGTAATCATTATGGTAATAGGCTGAGTGGAGTCCATTTCCCTTTGTTATCATACAAGTGATTAACAAAATCCCAGAAGTCTGGGAGAGTTAGTTTGAGTATAAGAATAATTATATTTTCAGGTTTTTAAAATAAGCACAAGGTATTTGGAAAGTTTTTTGCTACAAGCATGACTTGTTGGAAAAACCTATTGAAGTGGACACATCAGTAATTGTATGTAATGTGCAGTTATTATTACTGAGGCATGACTCATACTGTCCTTTTACCTGTCCTACATTGTATTAATGCTGAACTCAGGGAAGCTGATAGCCAATTGGATTTGATAATTTTGTCATATATTATTATTATTTTTTTTGTAATCAGTCATTGAATTTTATCTTTAAATTTTTATGAACAAACGAACAGTAGCAATAAAAGGAAGTTGCATAGTCAAGCTGTTTATACAACTAAACTCTCCACATTGTAATAAAGTTTTAAAACCTTCTTGCTTTAGGGGTTAAGGTCTTCTATATTAAGCTATGTTGATGAAGTAAATGCACCTTCTGCTATGGTTTTGACTGATAATGTAAGCTGATATATATTTTAACGAAGTATGTTTATAACTACGTCTTAATTACTGGGTCCTTTCCTTACAGAGTCAAGACAAAAAGCTTTAGCAGAGGTGTGTAAATTATATACTTTAGTGTAACAAAACATATTTTGTTTGTTTTTTTTGGAAAACGTGTTTAGCTGGCGTGTGTTTTCTTTGTACCACCCTAAAAGTCAATAGATACTCCTGTATTTCACTTCTATTTGTACCATTTCATTTTCCAGTGTCATCAATTCTAAACATTATTTTTTTAAAAAATAACTGTATCGTTAAATTTCTTTTCCATTGTTTCAGGAAGCTAGGATTCCAGCAGATATTCCATTACCACCCAACATCCCTCTACCGCATGCAGGTGTGGTGCTTTTGTTCTATCCAATAAGTATATTATTTTAACAACTTTGTACCATTTTTATCTCTGCTTTCTTCTGCTACTTTTATCATTCTTGGTTGTTTCACCATTTCATGATAATTACCCTGTAGAAATTAGCCATCAAATCAACCTTTCATTCGTAACAGTAGGCACATGGAAAATTCTTAAATCAAAATCAAAATTTCCTCGTGTGAAATTATGAGAAATAACCCTTTAGGTCCCAAGAGTGACCAACATCAATTTTCTCCTAACAACATCAGCAGATCATAAGAAGTAAAAGGTAATGAGAATTACTGAATTGATTACCAAAGGGAGAATGCTTTGACCTTAAACCAAATTCTCTCAACTATTCTTTAAAAAAATGTATGGAGATCAGTCTGGAGTTCATTTGAATGGTAACTTTGAAAATTTTTGTACGCACATTCCAGAATTGGCTCCCCAGGAAAGGAACCCAGAAGAGAATTTAAACCCAAGTTAGTGATAAGGGGGTCCTCAAACAACTTGGCCCTAAAGACTGTTTTCTCAAGAATCAATTTTAAATAATTTTTTTTTCAGGAATGTTGATGCCAAGTGATATTCCTCTCCCTGGACCATTGCCTGGACAACTGTGAGTTTCTGTTTATTATTCTTGTTTTAAATGCCATTGTTAGCAGTACAACTGCAGGGCACAGAATAACAGCCGGTCGAGGGACAATGTCAGACCAGAATGGCGACTTGTGCAGCCAAAAACTTTACTAACCAGTCATGTTGACCGGTCATTCATTCTTGAACCAACTGCTAAATCCTCACCTGTTAATCTTATATTTATGTGCCTTGGACTACGGTTACTCATCTATAGTGTAACAACCTGTACCTGGATGTCTCAAAATGTTCATTTTTACCAGCTTTTTCATGTGAAGTTGGCATCCAGTCTTAATAATGGTGTAGATAATGTGTACTTACCTTAACTTTATGTTACTTTAAAAAATGTGGCAAAAACATTTCACCTGTAATATTATCGTACCTATAAAAAAGCAGTTAACATTATTATTATTTATGCATACAAGCTCTTTTATTACATGTTACTAGTTGGTTTTGCACTGGATGGGTTGTCGATAATACATGCCAAAAATTACTGCTTTACTGATTTTTTTGCGCTGTGCTATTCTCTTAGCACACAACAAGAATCATGTAGTGCACTACACAATTCTCATTGCGCAGGAAACAAGACATGACTGGTAACTTACTTTTCAGCAGCACTATACTTTTATTCATCATCAGGCCCCTTCCTCCTGGATTAATACCCCCCGGTCCACCACCAGGGCCCCCACCAACCCTCCCCCAAGGAGTTGTGCCACCTGGTCCCCCACCAGGACCGCCGCCAGGTGCTCCACCTGTCAGCATTCCCCCACCCCCACCTCCTGGAACAGCACCTGATGACTTAGAGGGTAGACCATATGATGATGGTGATAGTGAGGGTAGTACTAGTGAATCAGGGGGTGAAGAAGAAGAGTATGACCCTGCAGTTCCGCTGGAGAGGCTGGAAGGGGAAAATGATGGGCAACCAATTGGTGAACAAGATGACAACACAGATGAGGAGATGGACAGTGAAGGAGGTAAATTCTCCCACTCCCAATAAAATGTATTCTTATTAGAAACCTTTAGCCTTTACTCATCTTGCCTCATTTTTATGTTGAATGTTGTGGAACAAAAAACATTAAATGATACAGTTGGGCATCAGACAACATTCACCTGAAATTTGTCCATTGTCTGACAAAATCCTGCCAGTGGTTGAGTATGAAGACTTGACTAATCAAGTACAAAAATATATATTATTTTGAAGCTGATAATTTGCATGGTACTGATAGAATGCAAGTCAACTTATCATGTTCCCTGACAACTTTTATAGTCTGTCTGACTGAAAACATTGACCTGGTCAGGCATACGGTATGTCCTGTCTAAAAACAAAAATTATCTTATTTACAGCCCTGAGCTTAGTGAGATGATATCAACTAATTTCTCTGTTTTGCTGCAGAGTCGAGAGAACGTCAAAGAACAGTGAGGTTTGCTGATGAAGTTGAGCAAAGTGGGATTCAACCCTCAAACAGTGCCAATACATCATCCATTCAAGATTTTCTTCTCAAAATGGCTGGTCAGCCTCTTCCAGAAAATAAGGTTCAAATAATAATTATTATTGTGTTGAAAAGAAGACATCCTAAATAACATACTTGTTAACCTGTGCTTAGTGGTCACCCTTGGAGAATGACACACTGACAGGGTAATAGAGGTTGTTGATGTGATGTCAGGAAGAATCCACCTAGTGCAGATTGACTGTAGTCATGAAAAGGTTTTTGAGAGTAACATTCAACTGTACAAGTTCAATTCATGGTGGTCGGGTTACTTCTCTGCCGTCATTCAAAGTCAAAATCTTGCTATAAAAAGTAAGTTAGATTATTGCAGATATGGAAACACGCTTTTAAATTAATTTGGCTAATATTACTGAGCTTTATGCAAGTACACTGCCCATTCTCAAGAGATAGATCACTTTACGATGCTTTGCCGAATTTCGGTTTTTGTGGCATATTGATTAAATCCCCTCCATTGGAAAAAAAAAATAAACCCACCATTTCAAACTTGCAGGTAACCTAATTTTAGTTGTGTAATGTATGTCACCTTTTTCATTAACCAAAGTATTTTCTCTCTGTTTCGTCAATGCAGAAAACATCAGAGGAGCAAGGAGACCAAACCAAGAGAAGCACAACACAGGTAGCCCAACCACCAGGACCACCACCGGGGCCACCCCCTGGTCAGCTACCCCTGGGAAGTCAACAACCTGGATCCTTACCAATCCAACCCAACTTTGCGATCAGACCGCCCCCGCGGATGTTTCCCCCCGGTCCCCCACCTGGTAGGCCTCCAGGTCCTCCCCCAGGGATGCCTGGCATGGTTCCCCCAGGACCACCCCCTGGATTACCACCTAACATGATGGCGCATGCTCTGGCAAGAGGACCAAGACCCCTTATGCAGCCGCCCATGTCGCTCCCGCCAAGACCTGGAATGCCCCCACCCCCTCGACCACCCCCTGGAATGGTTCCTCCCCCACCCCATGGTGCAGTTTTATCAGCGCCTCCGACCTTTATCAGCAAACCGCCCATGGCTAATCCAACGTCTGACGGTGGAAAAGGTACGTACTTCGCTGTGTCATTGTCGTTGTTGTTTCAAACAATTTGTTCCTTACATTGTAATCACCACTATTATGGTGCTTAAGAAACCTCAACAGCGGAGAAGACGGTAGACATGCTACAAGTCGACCTCTTGGCGAGCGGAGCGAGCCTTTTTTGGCCGCAAAGGGGCCGACCGCGAGTGACGAAGTCGCGAGAGGTCTTGTCCCGCGCCATATGAAATCCGACGAAGGACTTTTTTGAAAGTCTAAGAAGTACGCATTCGCTCTCTTTCAAACTTCTTCAATCATATTCCATCTCGTTCAATTTGTCAAATGTTAGCGAATTTTTCTGCAGTTAAATTCTAAAGAACTGTATCTGAGTTTAGAAAAAGAAAAAGAAAATCGTTTTCTTATGTTCACGTAGGCGTACTCCTTCAAACGTGATATAGACGTTTCACGTCGTAGTTGTGCAACAACGTAGACAAAAGCGTGATGCAGGTGCAAAGTTGTTGTTTTGCTAATCTAAATCTATTGCTTTTTTGCCGTTCTGGTTGCCATCGCTGCTTTTCTTGCTTAAGCTCCCTCAGTGTTATCGAATGAATACTTTGTTAAGGCTGGTGGCTTAGTGTTCGTAACCCTCCTGATGCACCCATAATAACATAACACGGGTAAACTCGAGTGAATTCTCTTCCAACCAGTATCAGTGGACTCCTGTTAAACAGGACCGACGTATAAAGATAACTTTACGTAAACGAAAAGCGCCCCGACTGATCTTAGGCCCATTTTCATCTCGATGTTTGCGTTAAGAAAGAAGGATCGTCCCGAGAGAGTAATAAAAGAGGTTAATTGATTCTTTTAAATTCGTGTTTCTTTCTTTCTTTCTTGAAGGAGCAACGATTGTCAAAGAGGCAACGGCGACAATTAGCGCCAAACCGCAGTTACGAAATACACAAGCGGAGTTAACCAAACTCATACCTACGGCATTACGAGTCAAACGGGACCAACCCAAGAACAAAGCCAAGCTTCGGCCTCCAACTTCTGGATCAGAACCTCTCGAAACTTTACCACGACAAGTTTCACAGCCAAAGGTCGCCGAAACCGGGACCAAAGACGATGCTTACGCGCTTTTTATGAAAGAAATGCAAGGACTGTTGTAAATATTTTCCCTTTCTTTTTCGGATTTTTTTTCTTGTTTGCTTTTATCCTTCCGCATGTTAAATGAGAGTCAAGTTGTGGATTTAGGAGATGAGGCAGGGAGGCAGATGATGAGAGAGGAGGCACGGCTTCTGTGTGTGTTGTTCTTGCAGTTGTTGTTGTTTCTGTTGTTCCTGGTAATATCCAAATTGAAACGGCTGTAAACCACTTTCTCTCAACCTACCCAAAGCGATAACAACAACATGGAAGCCGGTCGTTTCGATACACGTCGTTGCGATACGAAGATAAGCAGTGTAGCTGCACAAAAATTACGATCATTTAGAGTATAGTTAGCGTGACAAGAAAAACGTTTGGCGTGAAAATGTCAACTACGCGAAATTATGTACACCTCGACTGAATCGACTTATATCGAAATAGCCTGTGAACAGGCTCTCTGTTTGGGGAAAGATTTTTTCACTCTTTCCCCAAACAGGGAGCCTGTTCACAGGCTAATATTGAAACGACTTGTAACGAAACGACTTTGTATCGAAACGACCAGTAAGCCAACAAAATTATTCGTCTTCCCTCACCGCTTTCTCGGTTCTTTCCTCTAAGTCTGGATACTGGAGGGGAGAGTCGTTTCGTAAGCGAAAAGACTTATAACGTGAGCGAAACAACTCACGACGTAGGCGAACAGGACGTAGGCGAAACGACTGTAAACCTACTCTGGTGGCTCCACGAGACTTGGCATGATTTAAAATAAATATCCCAAGATAACACTGGTAGTTAAAAGCGGCGAGAAAACGAGAAAAATAAACTGTAACTTCTTATTGGCGCGCAAGCGTCAGACATTTGAGATGAGCTTTGACAGAAAAAAAAGAGAGAGAAATAGTGCAAGAGCGTTGCCTACTTTTTTTTGCCCCCCCTCCCCCTCCCTTCCTTATCTGGATCTGCTACTAGATAGGGACTTCACTAGTTGAAGTATATAATAGGGTAGGGAAATCTGTCATTTGGGTCTGTAAAAGGGCCCAAACACAGGAAAAAATAACGGATTCCCATTTTTGGATATTTTAGGGTATTTAAAGAATACCCACAAAAATCCCAAATTTGGAAGAGTGAGACAAGTCCCAATCAGGGAACTTGGTTGGGAATTCCCTGGTTTGGACTTGTCTCACTTTGCCAAATTTGGGATTTTTATGGGTGTTCTTTAAATACCCAAAAATAGCCAAAAATGGAATCCGTTATTTTTTCCTGTGAAAAGGGCAAACAGATGAATTTTATGGCATTACAAAATCGAGAAAACGTTTTATTTTTGTGATTGATTGAGGTTAAGGGGTTAGACCACGGGGCGGGGCCTCCCCGTATAAACATTTGTTGAGTAGTATGGCAGTAGCCCGCCGGGGGATTTAAACAAGGTTACAGGGGTAGCGAAGTTACAGAAGAAAAATGAAACAAAACAGAATGCAAGGCTGGTACTACGGCAAAGGGCTGAATTATTATAGGCCAATTACAACCCACTTTCAGCATGTCACGCTGTAAGGCAAGACAAGCGTACCTCATAGATAGAGGCAAAACCCTGTCACCAGACCGAAAGAATGAACATTGAACTTTTTCTATTTCTATTTTTATTGTATAATCATTTACCTAGATATTATTTTATCTGGATTTATAATTGTAGTTAATTATTAACCACTTATGTAAATTTTAAATTTAAATTTTAGGAGCCGTTTAAAGATATTTTTTCTCGGTATAGCTCTGGCCCTGAGGGAGGTTAATTTTGTTAGCGGAAATATTGGCCTGTAGTAAATCAGCTCTTTGCCGTAGAGCCAGCCTTACATTCAGTTTGGTTTCATTTTACACATCAAGTGACGTCTGGTTACAGCACCTCTTTAATTAGAGATCCGGCAAGAGGAACCAGTCAGTTACGTTTGACATATTTACGTGTTGGGTGGACCTCTGCATTCAAACATATTAGATGACTGAATGACTCAACCTCGTCCCCAAGATCTTCTCGCTTTAGTAGAAAACGAGAAGACCCTGGGGACAAGCTACAGCTGAGTAGCCTCCCCTTCACCGGCCGGAGTTTTTCCCATTCAAAATGGCGGTGCAAGTGTGTTTTCGCCGGTTTCGCTCATTCCAACTGCTTTTCATAAATACAGCCTACACACGCTTAAAAAATCCTTTTTTGAATGTGAGAACACCTTTTCCAACTTTAACACCACGAGTTCTGCGTCCATTTACTTTAACACGAACGCTATGTTCCGACGGTCGCCAAAATGACGAAGACCCCAATGTAAAAACTGCGAATTTGGTCATAACACAAGGGCCCATTGGGTGGCTTTTAAAGACAGTGAATCTATGGCTCCTTCAGAAGTTTATTGATCACGAATTTGAGGAACGCGAGTTTCTACGAGGGGCTAAGCAAGCCTTGTGTGTTATCTCCGAGCTAATAAATAGGCGAAGCTGGGAGGAAATGGAGGGAATAATGTCTGAAAAACTTGCAAGTGATATTCAACACAACACTGACTTGATTGAAAAGCTGGGACCAGTGGTCACGTGGCAGCAAATTATATCTGCAAACATCCAGAAAGTGCAAGTTGGTTTTGTGGAGAACGGGAAAGGCAAATTAGTTGACATTCAAGTGGCGTTCATGTGTGCAAATCAAAACAAAGACGAGTTCTTTGAGAAACAGCTTGGAAATGTTAAAATAATCGGCATTCCTACTCCGAAGATTGTGTATTACACATTCAGAAAATTAATCTTCCCCGATTCAGTTAGTGACTGGCATGTAGATGCCATTTCAAGGCAGTAATACCAAGGGCGTATCCTCATCCAGGTTCTTGAATATAATCCCAGAATGCATTGCATTCAAAACTTGGATTGTGAACCTAAAAAATCCACACTCTGAGGAGCCTGCAGAGCAGGCATATTTTGAAGTGTCAGAAATGATGATACTGTTTTCAGGACAAATGCTCTCCTGCTTCGTGCCACTCCTCCCTTAGTTTTTTTTATTTGCTTTTAAGATTGTGGCTGTGATCAGTTTATGTATCTCTGAGTTTTCGCTAAAAAAATCTCTCCATTACTTGGATTCTTGATAAAAACCATCCTCTAGCCTGTAGTGTAGGTGTAAAATTCAGTCAAGAACATGCTCATCAGTTTCTAAATGCAGCTGACATTTTTGTTATTTAAAATCAGAAGAAAATTAGAGATTATTAAGTGTGAGTGGTGTGAGGGTTTTGACACTATTTTAACGTTTTTAACAAGGCAACTTTATCCCCATCATAAATGATCCATGACCAAAAACAAGAGGATAGTATCTGCGCTCTAGAAAATTAATCGTTAAAATGATCATAGCCGCTAAAAAGAAATTTGGCCATTTAATTCTATTTACCAATGATGAGAAAAGTGTACTCTGGATTTTTTAAGGCTGACACTGTCCCTTTCTGAAAATGTTCAGAAATAGGTGATCAACAATTTTGTTCTGGATTTGAGTAAGTTACGCATCTTCCCTTGGTTGTTATGTTGTCACTGTTTTTGGTGACGTTCTTCTTAACAGTGTAACCTGTTTCTACCTATACGTATCATGAGGCCTTCCAGGAGGTGGGAGGGGGGGGGGTTATGCTGTCGCTTTATTGGTCTTTTCAGTGAGACTGCTTGTAAAGTTAGTTAGAAAAAAATGCCACCATTGGTTCAGCATAAAGTTTTGTGAAACTCAATATATATAGATTTTTGTTGTTTTTTTTTTTTGGGGGGGGGGGGGTATTTAAGGGGGATATTTTCCCTGAGAAGATTTAATTTTTTTTAACCTTTCCCCATTAAAAACCCCCTGTTATATGTAAGACGGCTAAAGAACCCCGGTTTAAATATCAAGAACAAACTCCCCCCCCCCCCCCCCCGGGCACCCAGGTCACCGGTTTTCTCCAATAACATTAGGGTAACCAAGCCTCCAATCACAACGGTGGAGAAAATAGACTGGTACCAGCATCCGAGAAAATGGACGACTGCAGGACACCTGAACAATTATTGTTGGACACTTAAGAATTTGGATCGATATTTCCACCGTTAGAAAGATGTGTTCTGCAGCGTTGCTTCTCTGTTAATTACTACACAATGGAACGTTATATCCATCTGAGACATTTCGCATTCTCCTGTTTCAGGGGGATTGGGCAACTGCTTTTCATAAATACAGCCTACACACGCTCAAAAGATCAAGATCCTAGCCGGCGTAGCAAGCGTTTCCTCGCGAGGTTCGTCTAGAAAGCTGGGGCTAAAAAGATCCTTTTTTGAATTCCAACTTTAACACCACGAGTTCTGCGTCCATTTACTTTAACACGAAGGCTATGTTCCGACGGTCGACAAAATGACGAAGACCTCGAAGTAAAAACTGCGAATTTGGTTATAACACAAGGGCCCATTGGGTGGCTTTTAAAGACAGTGAATCTATGGCTCCTTCAGAAGTTTATTGATCACGAATTTGAGGAACGCGAGTTTCTACGAGGGGCTAAGCAAGCCTTGTGTGTTATCTCTGATTTAATAAACAGGCGAAGCTGGGAGGAAATGGAGGGAATAATGTCTGAAAAACTTGCGAGCGATATTCAACACAACACTGACTGGATTGAAAAGCTGGGACCAGTGGTCACGTGGCAGCAAATTATATCCGCAAACATCCAGAAAGTGCAAGTTGGTTTTGTGGAGAATGGGAGAGGCAAATTAGTTGACACTCAAGTGGCGTTCATGTGTGCAAATCAAAACAAAGACGAGTTCTTTGAGAAACAGCATGGAAATGTTAAAATAATCAGCATTCCTACCCCGAAGATTGTGTATTAAACATTCAGAAAATTCATCTTCCCTGATTCAGGTAATGACTGGCATGTAGATGCCATTTCAAGACAGTAATACCTAGGGTGTATCATTATCCAGTTTCTTGAATATAATCCCAGAATGCATTGCATTGTCTTCAAAAATTGGATGGTGAATCTAAAAAATATATACTCTGAGTAGCCTGCAAAGCAGGTGTATTTTGAAGCGTGAACAATGATACTATTTTCAGGACAAATTAATGCTCTCCTGCTGTGTGCCTCTCCTCCCTTCATTTTTTATTGCTTTCAAGATTGTGGCTGTGATCAATGTACCTTTGAGTTTTCGCAAAAAAAAAATGCCTGCTCTGCATGCTGTGCTCTGAGTGCTACATCTGGATTTTTGGATTCACCATCTGTTTGTTTCTCTAGACAAGAATCTACTGTGTCAGATGTACCTGCTGGTGAGCTTCAGTTTTCCTGTGAAAATATGAGGCCTGCTGCGGTCTCTCTCCTACTAAAAAAATCATTTTCAGAATTCTTGCTATGTGCTGTTGACCATCAATCCAACAATGGTTACAAAAGTACAGTTCTGATCCACATTTTTCATTAATGTGGTAACATACCGGTCTACCTCGTTGAATCAAGAATGGTGTGAGGGATACCCAACAGCAGATAGTAATAAATGGTTTGAAATAATGGTCACTTGGTTTTTCTAGTGTTTGATGGAAATCTCTCCCTTACTCGGATGCTTGATAAAACCCATCCTCTAGCCTGTAGTGTAGGTGTAATATTCAGGCAAGAACATGTTCATTAATTTCTAAATGCAGCTGACATTTTTGTTATTTATTTCAACTTTAAATCAGAAGGAAATTAGAGATTATCAAGTGTGACTGTTGGGAGGCTTTTGACACTATTTTAACATGTTTAACAAGGCATCTTTATCCATATCATAAATGATCCATGACCAAAAACAAGAGGATAGTATCTGCGCGCTAGAAAATTAATCATTAAAATGATCATAGCCACTAAAAAGAAATTTGGCCATTTATTTCTATTTACCAATGATGAGAAAAGTGCACTCTGGATTTTTTAAGGCTGACACTGTCCCTTTCTGAAAATGTTCAGTAATAGGTGATCAACAATTTTGTTCTGGATTTGAGTAAGTTAAGCATCTTCCCTTGGTTGTTATGTTGTCACTGTTTTTGGTGATGTCCTTCTTAACAGTGTAACCTCTTTCCATCTATATGTATAACGAGGCCTTCCAGGAGGGGGGGGGGGTTTGCTGTTGCTTTGTTGGTCTTTTCAGTGAGACTGCCTGTAAATTTGGTTGTAGAAAAATGCCACCGTTGGTTCAGCATAAAGTTTTGTGAAACTCAATTTTTTTCTTTGGGGTTGGGGGGGGGGGGGGGGGGGAGTTTTCAGCAGAAATATAATGTGGAGAAGTTAGATTTTTTTATCCTTTTTCCCTTGAAAACCCCCTGTATTATAGAGGAGGTCGTAAGATCCCACGGTAAAATAAAAAAAAAAAAAATATTTTTTAAAACATTTAAA